GATGCAGGTTAAGCAGCTGGCGGGTGACGAGACGAGATGACGAGTGGTGGTTATATTATTTATTATTGCTTTATTAACCTTGCTTCCGCTTAGTTCATGAACTCATGTTGAATTTGGATATTGTGGTTATGTCATTTCGGAACATGGAATTATGAATTATCTTTTATGAATTGGAACCTAATGAATGCTAGATTGGTTTATGGTTTATTATTCGTGCATGCTGCCTTTATTTGCTGTGTTAGCATTTTTGGATAAAAGCTTTTGGTAGGTTGAGTAGCGCCCACTGAGTTTTTAATTACATTAATGTTTGTAAAATAAAAATTTATTGTGGTTTCTATTAAATAAATTCGATAAATCTTTCAAAATAAAGTGGGGCGTTACATCTTCTCTCTACCGTACGGGCTGCCTTCCGACCGTCATCCCAAAAAATAGAAAATACCCAGTGAGTGAAAGTTGGGAGTTGAGGGTCGATGTAATTGAGCTCGACGCGAGACTTGAGGAAAGTCTTTCATCATGAAATTTTTGTCTCGCAACTGTGGCTTGTGTGAGGCCGATCTTCCTGAGGGTTTTAGGGGTAGGATCTTGCCTTTACTAGGATTCGGGGCATTCTTTCTTCCTCTCGCCTGCTAGATCACCAGGCGCCGATAGGCGAAGAGGACGAGATACCCATGTAGCTCCTCTGACGGACTTCCTTCTCTCACTCTCGAGGAAGCAAACAGGGCGGGCCAGTCCTAACTGACACTGTACTATAATTGGACAATAGCGGCTAGACGGAATGGACAATAGCATTGCTATCCTTAACTAACCGCTAAGCGAGACATCAACAGAAGTAAATAAAAGAGATACGCGGCCCTTACCTATCATTTGCAAAGTAATACACAAGTTATCCCTCAGATTGGAGATCTCGGAGCGGGTCGACCCAACGAACGAAGCGAAGCGAAGTGAAGTCAAAGAGTCAAATGGATTGGATGCATGGAAAAAAGCAAAAAACCCAAACCTGCGTGCAGGATCAAGCAGTTCTTTCTCTTGTTCCTTGTCCTTTACCCAAGGTCGTTAACAGAACAAGACGAGGAAGACGATGTTTTCAGAACTGTGAAAGCAATAGTTCGCCCTCATTTCATTAGTGAGAAGCCTGCCCCTTCGAGCTAACCAAATGAAGTAAATCCACCTTGCAGGCACTTAGGATTCTTATTACAGTGAGAACCCCATTTCACTAATCGCCAGGGAGGACATAAGTTCTCCAATTCGCATGTCCTTACTCAAAATCGATAGATAGGTTGGTAGAGAGGGGGAATTGCATGATATGACCAACGAGCAGAAGGCCTTTTGAAATCCCCTTGTGGGAGGGGAGGTGAGGCGCGTAGAAGGTCTCATTATCTTAACAAGACGGTACACAAGGTTTCAGGACCTTACCTTCCGGTTAAACCGGTTGGTGAACAATCCCCTTATTCCGGTCTTGATCGGATTTCCCCTTTTTCACACTCTCCTCATTTCTCTTTCGGGCAAGGGCCAGTCCGAGATTCCCAAGTTCGGGTGCCTGCTCAGTTGTTCATCAAAATAACAATACTTACATAGCTAATGACTCAAACAAGCTAATCTAATCAAATTAGTTATCAATTATCCACTAATACACCAAAATCGATTAAAACAAAAACAAGAGTTGAACTAATTTTGCTTCAAGGACGTGCCCTACTTTGGGATCAAAGTATTTGCAGGAATTTTCTTTACCATATATGGCGCATTTCCTTTCAATGGAAATAAGATGCATTTACAGATGCACTCTTCAAAGGGGAAAAGAAAGAAGCGCAAAGAAAGCCCAGGCGTTTTCTCTAAGAACCCAACCGGGCCAACGCATCTCGTGCAAAGTCATAATTGGGCTTGATTCGCAGTGCATCCTCATAAGCTTTTTGGGCCTCCTCTCTCAGCCCATTCTTCTCGTAACACTCTCCCAGCAGCCCATATGCTCTCTCATTATCGCCTCTCAGCTTCACCGATTCCACCAGATCCTGCAGCGCCCCTCCGCCGCCCAGCGCCACCTTAAGCTCCGCCCTCTTGAACAGAGCATCCCCCCTCTCGGCGTCGCTCAGGGACCTCACCGCCGGTGGGGACAGCGCGGCGTCGAGCGAGACCAGGGCAGAGGTTCTAAGACCCTGTAGATCGAGCGCGAGGGCCCTGAGGATGTGCGAGGCGGCGTCTTTCGGGTCGAGCGCGATGGCCCGATTGGCTTCGGCCTCGGCTCGGCCGGCGAGGGAGACGGCGTCGGAGGTGGAGGATCTGGCTTGAGAGAGGAGTTGAGCTCCGAGGACAAAGTGGCGCCTGGCGTCGAGATTGGATCGCCTAAGCTTGGGGAGGAGCTTTTGGGGAATTTTGTGGATGTAGAGGAACATGAAGAGCGTGAATAGAATTATTGCTGCCTGTAAAACTAGATCGCTCCACATCTTT